TTTTTTTTGGTCATTTTCGCTATGCAGTGTATACACAAAAAAGGGGAAAAGTCATAAAACCTCCCGGTGACGAAACCTTTGTATCCCTTTCCCCCCAAACGAGAAAAAAAGTGCCGCACGTTTGAAAATCACTTTCCGCGTCATTTTTGCACCCTGCAAAACACTTTCCAGTCATTTTTACACTTTCCAGCCATGTTTACACAGCGGCCGTTACCGGCCCAGCCAGGGTGCAAAAATGACACCAAAAGTGATTTTCGGACCCGCGGCACTTTTTTTCTGGGTTGGAGGGAATGGATACAAAGGTTTGGTCGCGGGGAGGTTTTATGACTTTTGCCAAAAAAACAGCAAGACTGTGCCAGACTGTTTCGTCGGACTTTCACCGACTCATCAGGAGGTGAAACCCCGACAGTCTGCCCAGGATTCATTTGACTGATGGATAAGGACTCACCACATTGCCCAGAGTGTATAGGTGTATCATCACCGTGTATGTATATGTGCATGTGTGTATGTATTTATGTGTGTGTAGAAAAGAGAATGCAGAGATATATGTTTGTACAGATGAGATTGACGAGAGTACCTTAATCTACTTTTCTACCTTCGTACGATTTTCTGGGGCACTGTCCCACCACTGTCTTGAACGCCAGGTTCTTATCACTGTCTTTGGAGGAAGCAATAATGATTGCGGGGATAATTGGTAGAAAGTGGCCACGCCCAAACCTTTTCGGTTTTGGCCACCCAAACTTCAGCCGTTTGAAACTACCGGCCCAATGTCTTCCATGTGGGGTACTACAGGGCCACAGAACAGGCCCACGTCTTCCATGTGGGGTACTACAGGCCCACATGCCGCTCCAAGGGCCCTACCAGATCATGCATCTGATATCCATCTCTTGCCTTCTTCACGCACGCCCGATCATGGGATGCAGTGGCCCTACAGAAAACTCGTGTGTGACCCATGTGCGATGCAGTCGGCCCACTCTCCTTCCCCGAACACAACACACCTTGATAATGAATGTATGTCAGGCATTGCAAGCTATGTTTCCAGGGCTGTACAGTCACAGAGAGGGTGAGTTGTGTTCGGGGACGACACCACAGTAGATTGCATGAAATGCTCGACAAAAAGAAGAATAGAAAGGTACTATAGGAGGAAATAGTGGAATGTAAAGGTATTGTTGGGGGATGTTTTTATTCGGACAGAGCAAGGGTCTTGTTAGACACTCCTTCAGAGTCCTATAATGTTCACTGTGTAACCGCGTGCTGATTGAACGCTGGGTCAGAGCTCAAAAAAATTTGAGCACCGGTCAAACCTGCGCTCAAAGCGTGCTCGAGTGCCCTTTGAGGGACCGGAGCAGGGCGGGTTTCGGGGTGGGGGGGGGGTTGGATTTCGGGGGTTCTGAGGGGCGTGGGGTGTGGTACGGCCCTTCGGGCAACCTGCTGCACCACCCCCCGCCCCTAAGCCCTTCTCAATTTTATTTAAACCGGAAACTATGCGGGAGTCAATAAAACGAGTAATAACTGCACTATGGGCCAAGATACAGTTTCGAATTGCCGTTAGGGCATTGTATCCAACCCAGCTTTCTGGCCAGGTAGGCCCTGGTAGGGTGCCCGAAGTGCAATTGCAAACTGTATTTTGCCCATAGCAATTATAACTCGTTTTTGTGACTCTACTGAACTTCCCTAACATTAGAAAAAAAAGGGTACTTCGAATTTGGTGCCATGGAAGTTTAAACCACCAGTACCTCCCCCTGCTATTGAGTCCAATGTCTTCCATGTGGGTACTACAGGAGTAACAGGACCATGCGCTGCTCCAAGGGCCCTACCGGATCATGCTCTGACCCAGCGCTCAATCAGCACGCGGTTACACAGTGAACATTATAGGACTCCTAAGGAGTGTCTAACAAGACCCTTGCTTGGTCCGAATGAAATATTTCCTCCTAAAGTACCTTTCTATTCTTCTTTGTTCAGCATTTCATGCAATCTGCTGCCGTCTCGTCCCCGAACACAACTCACCCTTGCTGTGACTGTACCACGCTGGAAACATAGCTTGCACTGCCTTACATACATTCATCATCAAGGTGCGTTGTGTTCGGGGAAGGACCGTAGGCGGCGTAGGGCGACTGCATCGTGCATGGGTCGCACAAGAGTTTTCTGTAGGGCAACTGCATCCCATGATCGGGCGTGGGTGGCGAAGGCAGGAGATGGATACCAGATTCATGATCCGGTAGGGCCCTTGGAGCGGCGCGTGGGCCTGTAGTACCCACATGGAAGACATTGGACTCAATAGCAGGGCGAGGTACTGGTGGTTTAAACTTCCATGGCACCAAATCCAAAATACCCTTTTTTTTCTGGGTAAGTTCATTAGAGTCACAAAAACGTGTTATAATTGCTATGGGGCAAGATACAGTTTGCAATTGCACTCGGGCACCGGGCACCCTACCTGGCCAGAAAGCTGGGTTGGATACATTGCCCGAACTGCAATTCGAACCTGATCTTTTACTATCTTGACCTATAGTGCAGTTATAAGTTATAACTCATTTTTGTGACTCCCGCATAGTTTCCCCTTTTAAAAAAATTGAGAAGGGCTTAGGGGCAGGGGGTGGTGCAGAGGGTTGCCGGAAGGGCCCTGCCACACCCTACGCCCCTCAGAATCCTCGAAATGCGCCCCCCCTCCCCCCCCTGCCCCGCTCGCTCAAAGGGCAGTCGAGCACGCTTTGAGCGCAGGTTTGACCGGTGCTCAAAATTTTTTGAGCTCTGACCCAGCGCTCAATCAGCACACAGTTACACAGTGAACATTATAGGACTCTTAAGGAGAGTCTAACAAGACCCTTGCTTGGTCCTAATGAAAAGATCCCCCAATAATACCTTTATATTCCACTATTTCCTCCTATAGTACCTTTCTATTTTTTTTTTCGTCCAGCATTTTATGCAATCTACTGTTGTCTCGTCCCCGAACACAACTCACCCTCGCTGTGACTGTACAACACTGGAAACATAGCCTGCAATGCCTTATGGAGTAGATAAAAGAGCACACTGGGAACTACTTCTCCTCAAGGCCTGAGCAGCAGGACAGAAGGGTCGATCGTCAGTGAATCATTCATTGGCGGCAGTCAGAAATTATTTGCTGTGAGATGTAACGTCCACGGATTCCTGAATTTTGTATCGATTCGATTCAATTGTATCAAAAAA